ATCCAGCTCCGGTCAGAACAGACTTTTATTCTTGTGTTGGCTTTTGTGTAACTGCTTTAACACAAGTAGTTAAAGCAGTTAAACAAAAGTCAACACAAGAATAAAAGTGACATAAAACATAAATTCAGAAATGTATACACAACACAGTGAGCACATGTGAAAGGTGGAAACTAACTACATAGTAAAAATTTAACCCCTTCATGACCAGGCCATTTTTTGCTATTTAGAACTGAATTACTTTAACTGGTAATTGTGCAGTCATGCAACGCTGTACCCAAACAAAATTTATATCATTTTTTTTTACGCAAATAGAGCTTTTTTTTTTTTGGTGGTATATGATCATCATTGGGTTCTATTTTGTGATATAAACAAAATATTACCAAAAATGTTGCTTTGCAGGAATAAGAACCAGAGAGATCATTCTCTATGTACTAAGCCCTGTGTAGATTGTCAACACAGGGCTCTGGGCTGTGATTGGACACAGCCGATCAGCAGGTCCCAGACACTAATCATTGGCCAGGACTTGTTGACAGACAATCACAGCAGGTGTCAGCTGGGGGGAATGTGCATGCGTGTGCCCTAAACCCCAAAGCAACAGTACGTTGCTTAGCCTGATCGGGCAGCCTGTCCACAGTACATTGCAGGCAGGCGGTCCACGGGGGGTTAACTTTGTATTCAGCTATTTTGCTTGAGAATATGTCAACCCAACATTTCAGATTCCTGATATGTGCTTGCTGTACCATGGACTTGTATGAAAAAATATCCTGTTCTCTTTGTATTGCTTCCTTTGTGTGAAATCCCTGGTGTTTCTGCCACACTAGGCATGAGAGCACAACATGGTCAGTTATCTAGCAGTGCTGAGACCTCAGCCTGCTCTTCTCCAATGATCAGAGTTGTCCTTACACACTCCCTCTGCACAGCCATTCACTGGGAAGATCCATGTACTGCTGCTTCTCCATCCCCACCTCTCTATAGATCGTCTGCCAATACTAAATGCTACCAGTATAGACTACGCTTTTTAATCTGAAGATTTTTGTACAAATAGGAAGCAACAGAAATAAGGTTCTTTCTTGTTACTTAAGGAGAGGTCCTAAAGAAATATGATTCTGATTGTTTTCCTAGAAATCCCTTTTTTAGCTCCCTTCATAAATCCTGCTCTAACTGACCATGTTACTACAATGCCAGGCCCATTTTGGCTAGGGCCTTCCCTGTGGGTGTCCAAAGCCCATAAAAACCATGGAAACCGAGAACTATAGACCTGTGTGATTTGTTTTGTTATGAATTGAAAGTTTGGGCAAAATTTGCATTATTTTGGAGATTCAGATGTATTCGAATCTCTGAATCACAATAGTAACGAATTTTAACTAACCCAAAATAAATTATAACAAAAACAACAAATAATTCATGTTCATTCATTTAATTCGGATGACATGATGCAATAGTTTGGACCTTTTGTTAATGTTTGAAGCATCCAAAATAACGTAACAACATAACAAATGATCCAAATTCATTCAGATCCATTCGTTTTTATTCTGGTGAGCATAGCGTGAATATTCTAATAAGATTCTGTTTGTATTGGGGTTGAACTTGAGCAACCATTTGTTTCATTTGTATATTCACAACCCAACAAAGTCAGTTGGGAATGGGGAAATTAATTCAATCTAATAGCATAAGGAATATAGCCAATCATCCAAAATAACAAAAGAATAACAGAACTTCTGAAAATACGAATTGATTTCAGAACAACAAATATACGCTCACCGACCACTTTATTACGTACACCTAGTGCCAAGAAAATATCCCCACATCATTACACCACCGTTACACCACCACCACCACCACCACCACCAGCCTGAACCATTAATAAAAGGCAGGATGGATCCTTGCTTCCATGTTGTTTTTTGAGTTATTTGAGTTACTGTTGCTTTCTCTCATCTCGGACCAGTCTGTCCATTCTCCTCTGACCTCTGACATCAACAAGGCATTTTCATTCACACAACTGCCGCTCACTGAATATTTTCTTTTTTACAGACCATTCTCTGTAAACCCTAGAGATAGTTGTGCGTGAAAATCCCAGCAGATCAGCAGTTTTTTAAATACTTAGACCAGCCTGTCTGGCACCAACAACCATGCCACATTCAAAGTCACTTAAATCCCCTTTCATTCTGATGCTTGGTTTGAGCTTCAGCAAGTCATCTTCACCACATCTACATGCCTAACTGCATTGAGTTGCTGCCTTGCGATTGGCTGATTAGCAATTTGTGTTACCAAGCAATTGAGCAGGTGTACCTAATAAAGTGTCCAGTGAGTGTATACTATCCTGAAATAAGGAATCATTCCGAAAAAGAAGAAAAAGAATCATTCTAACATAACGATTATGACTAGACAAAATGATTTACTTAACATATGAAACTGGAATGAAACAGATGTTTCCATTGTGCACATGTCTAGAGACCTATGCCAATACATCCATAAACACTACAACACAGCACACCCTACCCTGCAATATGGCAAAATGATTAAACACTGGACTGTCACCATGCAGGTTCCTATGAAGTCCTAGGTTGGTCATAGAAGGCATGAAGTTTGGCCGATTCCTGCGAAATTGGTCAAAATTCAAGCCATGGGTGGTTCTGCATGTACCACCTGGCTTGACAAAAGTTGAGTTAAAAATCGCCAGAGCTGGATGGAAGATTATCAGCTGAAGACTGACTGTATACTACCAAATCTTTTCATTTTTCTGCAGTGGCAGTGTATTCAGGCAGTCATGGAGGTCATGGCTGCAAAATCCATTTCCTGGTAGTGGAGATTCCTCCATCCATGCTGTTCAGATATTTTTTTCTGTTCAGCCTGCTTGGCTCATCAAGAGAAAATTGAGCTGTGTATTGTAAGCTTAGAGGTACAGTCATTGACTGCTCGAGTTTCCTTCTGGGATTCACACCCACAAATTAAATTGAAGAACAAAGTGTGATAATAGTTAAAAAGTAGGAACAGTTCAGCTGGGGCTCTTAGCAGTTCCTATGACCTTGTTTTTAAAAGGATTAGACTGTGAAGGTCACTTTTTTTGTCAGGAAAGCCGAACACTAACAAGAATTTTTAATCCCCCGCATAAGCTTGTTCACATGCTAGATGCTTGTACGTGTCAAAGTCTAATCACATGTAATAGTTGTGCTGAATCTTACTGCTGGGTTTTTTTTTTTTTAGACAGACAGATGTTGCTACAATAAAAAGTAAAAAAGATTCTCTTACGGATAACTCTAAACTCCTTCTTTCGGACTCCCTCCATGTTCATTCTGTTCCACCTTATATTGACATATTCTGTTAACTATTATATCAGTACCATCCCAAAAAGTTACTCACAGTCACATAGTCAGGTTTAAAAAGGATACAAGTCAATTTAGTTCAACCAATTATGAAAAAAAAAAAACCAAATACATAAATTGAAAACCTTGATATACAAATCTCTATACCCAGTAGTGAATTTAGGTTTTGTGCTGCCCTAGGCACACACAAAAAACCTGATCAGTCCAGGGGTTGTAGTTTTTTGGTTGTTTTTATTTTGTTTTAGAACTAGGATAGGGAAGGGATATCGTAGGATACACTAAGCAATAGAGACCACACTGTACTAAACTAGACTGTATACATCCTAGCAACCTATCTAGGAGGGGGCTACATTTGGGTACTTTAGAAACTGCAAGTTGGCATTACATGCCATTATAAATCTCCTAGAATACCCAGATCCTTCTTGATCATTGATTCCCCCAGTTGCTCCCTCTCCTTGAATGTATGATGATGGATGTGTGGGCCAAGCAGCAAGTGGTCCTCGCTTGCCACATACGTGGCTGTAAGCCCACCAGGTTCTTGGGCTACTCCAGGCAGTGTGGCCGGGTCACTCGCCCTGCACATGGGGTACCTTTCCTGTGCATGTGCTCATCGATGCCCTAGGATGAGGCGGAGGCCTCATTCAGGTGGAATCAACCTTAACCTTCCTGGCGGTAATCGCGAGTGGTTAATTTCAGTACCAAAAGCGGTAACCCCGAGCAACAATCAGGATTACACTGCAGCGATCCCTCGAACCTTACCTTGTCCCATGATCCTGCGAGGTCCTCCTGCTGTGTCCCCCAGCCATGTCCACCGGCATCCATCTTCCGGGTTCCGTTCCCGGCAAGCGCCAGGACGTACGGGGGGGGGCGGAACCAGCGGAAGATTTAAAAAAGTAAAAATTTGACATACACACAATACACTGTTCTGTTAGTATTACATTACTGTATAAAACAATTTCACATACATTTTGTCCCGAGTGCTTTGTCCTGTGCCCTGCCTGCACTTTTACTGTTCTTTCTGCCTGGAAACTGAGAAACGTCCATGGTGTCCAAAAATCGTCCCTTTAGGTCAAAAGCGGTTTTAGACCAGCTAGAGAACAGCGGTAGTAAATTAGAAAATTAGAACCACTTGCAGAATTGAGTGATAGTGATACGTGGGGAAATTCGTCATCAGACACTGAAAACGATTCTGCGACTGAGCTCAGTGATGTGCAAACTTGGCGCTCTATTTCAAATTTCAATGTTTTTGGGTTGATTACATTATTGAATTAAATTTATTATTATATTGTTTTTTATAATTATTTATTATATTATAATTTATGATTTCGTGTTTCAAACTTTATCATACCCGGGATGTTTACTAGACTCTTGTTTGGACAGATTTAAGTGAGTTATTCCTAAGAATTACAGGCCTACAACATAAAACAACAAATTTCTATGCAAACAATGTACCGCTTTGACATTCAAAAATATTGATTAGTTAGGCCGCCAGGGAGGTTAAGGCAGGCCCCCAGCTTAGACATGAGCCATGCACAGTATGCAGTGAATATATGTAGAACATGTTTTTCTGTGTCACTATACACCTTGATAGTGAACTGTTGCATTTAGGAGGGGCATTGTAGTGACAGAATGTGATCCCGCCATGCACCTAGCATGGACCTCATGCGTGCACCTAGGTTCACACCTAAGCTTTTTCTGCAGTGTTTTTCAGAAACGCAGTACAGTCCATTTAACATGATTTCTTATGAGACATGTTCACATCTCCGCGTTTTCACCCGGTGCATTTTTTGGAAAGGGTCAGGGACTTTTTTAAACGCAAACAGTTGCATTTTGATTCTATAGACTTCAACGGAAACACTGCAGAAAAGCATGTATTGCATTTTTGATGCATTTTAAATCTGCCTAGCAACAAGAAAAAGAAAAAAAAATGGAAAGAAAACCCTTCAAGACGCGGCATACGCAGATGCGAAAATGCAAAACGCAATGCAGAAATGGATCAAACTCAACCTGCATAGGTGTGAACCTAGCCTAAAGCTGGTCCGATCCAGGTTGCTATGGGGAACCAACCACTAAGGAGGGAGCTCAAGCAGTGACCCCCTCACTATCTGAGGACACCTCACCCTACCCAGGCACCATGTTTCACGACAGGCTGCTATACACTCTGCACCAATTTTTAGTTACCCATAGCAACTACTATTTTCCTTTACTCCGATGCTGAGGTAACCTCTTTTGACTGACTTTTTTTCATACCCTGTACGTGCTTTAACTGACCCATGTTAACTTCAGTTTGTCTGCCATTTGACCTTCATGCACCCCTTTAGTAACTTCAGACCAGGCTTAGGAACAATTAACACATTTATTGAAAGTTTGGGAGCAAAACATGATAAAGTACAACACAGTTCCAACCCTAACTGTTCTGTTTTGCGGCTGCCCAGGCATACCTTAGAAGGTGATAGTACAACACATTCTTGACAGTTATCCAAGATATTCAGCCTCTTCGAGTGGACTGTCCTGGTGTTCCAGCCTCCCCAACGCAGGACCACACAACGGTCCAGGACAAGGCACAGTTCCAGCACTTAGCAGTAAGCACGTGAACACACAAGGGGAGCCCAAGCTCTCGATACCCTTCCCCCTTATATAAGCAGCACAGGGTGGGTAAGCTGGGTCCAAAAAGCTTGGGAAAAGGAGCAAGGAAGTTTAACCCATTCCCTGGGCCAACCATAGCTCACTATTAGTAGTATAAACAGGAGCTAGGCACTGTGTAGTTTTGTAATAATATAATACACCTTATATGGAGGTGCGCCTTTAATGATAATTCATGTGATAAAAATAGACCACCAGCCTGTGGCTTTAAGCCAGGTTCCAAGATGGACGGCCCGTCCGCTCAGAGGGAAGCAGTGGAGAGTAGAATGCCTGTCAGTGCAGGGACCACATGTATCCGATGTCCCGGCGTCCCAGGTGACATCACCGCGATGTGTCTCTCCACATTGCAGTGACGTTACCCGGGACACCGGGACGTCGGATACACGTGGTCCCTACATTGACAGGCATTCTACTCTCCACTGCTTCCCTCTGAGTGGACGGGCCGTCAATCCTGGTTTCTTAACCGGTTCCCGCCCGGCCAATAGCACAAAGGCGGCTGGCAAAACACCTCGTCCCTCCGGGTGGACGCCATATGGCGTCCTCCTTGACACGACCCCAGAGCGCACCCCCAGCGGCGCGCAGCACGGCGCTCTCACATCGGTTGTGTCCCATGGACACAGCGCATCCTTGATGAGGGTAACAGCCAATAAAATTAGCTGTTTACCCTGCGATCGGCTGTGTCCTATCACAGTCGATCACAACTATAGCATGGACCTCACGGATCCTGTGTGAGGAGAAGAAGGGGAACAGTGAGTTACAGCTATCAGTTTTGTGCACCACACTACCGATTGCCTCCACACTGCCCTGATTGCCTGTCACAGCTGCCCATCATTGTACCTGTCACCAGCTGCCCATCAGTGTACCTGTCACAGCTGCCCATCAACCTACCTGTCACAGCTGCCCATCAACCTACCTGTCACAGCTGCCCATCAACCTAGCTGTCGCCAGCCCATCAACCTAGCTGTCGCCAGCCCATCAGCGTACCTGTCGCCAGCCCATCAACCTACATGTTGCCAGCCTATCAGTGTACCTGTCACTGACCCATCAGTGTACCTGTCGCCAGTCCATCAGCGTACCTGTTGCTAGTCCTTCAGCTTTCCTGGTACCTGTCACCAGTCCATCAGTGTACCTGTCGCCAGTCTGTCAGTGTACCTGTCAGCACAGCCCGTCAGTGTACCTGTCAGCACAGCCCATCACGTACCTGTCAGCACAACCCATCGGTGTACCTGTCGTGCAGCCCATCAGTGTATCTGTCAGTACAGCCCATCAGCATACCTGCTAGCACAGCCCATCACATACCTGCTAGCACAGCGCATCAGTGTACCTGTCGTGCAGCCTGTCAGCAGAGCCCATCAGTGTACCTGTCGTGCAGCCTGTCAGCAGAGCCCATCAGTGTACCTGTCCACAGAGCCCATCAGCGTACCTGTCCAGCAGAGCCCATCAGCATACCTGTCCAGCAGAGCCCATCAGCGTACCTGTCCAGCAGAGCCCATCAGCGTACCTGTCCAGCAGCCCATCAATGTACCTGTCCAGCAGCCCATCAGTGTACCTGTCAGCACATTCATAAGGGAAGTCTATCAGTGTACCTGTCAGCTCATACAACTGTGCAGCCTTTCAGTGTACCTGTCATCAGCCTGTCATCAGAGTACCCATAACAGAGCCACCATCACTGCAGCCCATCAGTAGTGTACCTATTACAGTTGCCTGACAAACTGCCAACATGTCAAAAAAATATTACTTTAGTGAGGAGGCTTTCCAAATCCTCAGCATGACGGACAAGAGCAGCGGGGAGCAATCACTGTCGGATTCTGATTTGTATTACGAGCCAATAGAAAGCAGTGGATTGGTGACCGAATCGGAAGAGGAAGCAGTCCTTCCTAAAAGAGTAAGATGCCCTGAAGAGCAGGCAACAATGAGCAGCGCCAAACTACCAATGCCATTACACCCAAATGGTCAGTCAGCAAATGCCAACAGAGCTAGACCCCAGGATGACAGGCCCAGTACCAGTACTGGGATGTCATGCCAGACCCTAAGAGTCAGGGCCTAAACTTACCTCCCAGACGCTCTGGCAAACCCTCTGTGGTTGCCTTCCAGCTCAGGATGAGCTACAATCCAAATTTTCACCGCACAACCAGGCGTGCAGCCCAACACAGAAAATTTTTCCCCAATTGATTTTTTACATTTATTTTTCCCTGATAATTTCCTTCAATCAATTGTCGATCAAACTAACATATTTGCCCAACAGTATATCACAGACAACTCCAATTCTTGCTATGCCGTTCATTCGAGTGGAGATGGATAACAGTAGAGTAGCTTAAATTGTTTTTGGGCCTTACGGTCAACATGGCGCTTACAAAAAAAAAATTAATTACATTGATATTGGTCCACCCACCCCATCCATCACATTCCCATCTTTTCATCTGTAATGTCCAGGTCACGTTATAACATGATAATGTGCTTCCTGCATTTCAGTGATAATTCTCAGAGCCCTCTCCAAGATCAGCCAGGCTATGACAAACTATAAAATTCGCCCCCTAATTAATTTTTTTTCTAGAATATTTTCTGAACTTTATGTCCCTGCCCAAAATATCTGTGTGAACGGATCTCTAGTCCAGCTGGGATTCAAGCAATATATTCCCAGTAAAAGGACCAGGTATGGACTGAAGCTCAACAAGCTGTGTGAAAGTGCCACAGGAAATGTGCATGCCTTTTGCATGTATGAAGGCAACGACTCCCAGCTCCAGCCCCCTGGGTGCCCACCCTACATTGGCACAAGTGGAAAAATTGTCTGGGACCTGGCCTTTCCACTCTTCCAAAAGGAGTATCACATCTACCTAGACATTTATTATACAAGCCTGCACCTTTTCCGCCACCTGTACCTTGAAAAAACGATGGCCTGCGTTACTGCCCGAACACACAGGAAGGGCTTCCCACAAAATTTAGTTAACACGATTCTTCAAAGACGGGAATCTGCAAGGCTTAGGAACGAGGAAGTGCTGGCCGTGAAGTGGAGGGATAGGAGAGATGTTTATGTCCTGTCCACTATCCATAATGACATCATGGTAGAAATTCATAGAAGACAAGGTCCCGTCCAACAGCCAGAGTGTATCCACAATTATAATCAATTAATGGGGGAGGGTGGATTTAAACGATCAGATGCTGCACCCATACTTATCAACAAGGAAGTCCCTCTACTGGTACAAAAAAGTTGCAATATACTTTTTCCACATGGCCATTTATAAGTCATACATTACCTATCAAAAATCAATTGAAAGACCTACCCCCTTCCTCAAATTCATAGAAGATGTAATCACTGCCCTAATCTATCAGCAAGGATCTCCACCACAAACCATTCGCTCCGATTGTGTCAGCAGACTGCATGAACGCCATTTCCCTGAGATTATTCCACCATCAGAAATAGGAAGAAGACATTGAAAATAATGTAAGGTATGCAACAGAAGGGAAGTTAGGAGAGACATTAGTTTTCATTGTCCCCAATGTCCCTCCCAACCAGGCCTATGCATCGGAGAATGCTTCAGACGTTATCACACTTTAGTAAGATATTAGTTCCCCATATTTTCAATAGCCTGCAATTTCCCCATTTTTATTATCTGTGCTGATCTTTTGCCTACTGCCTTGATTGACCATGCCTCTGCCTTCCACCTTAACTGACCCTGGCCGGTTTACCGACGATGCCTCTGCTTGCTGTCTGAATTGCTTCTAAACCACATTTCTGCCTTCCACTGGAACTGACCATGGCTTGTTTATCGACTATGCTACCTGCCATCTGGATTATCAACCGCATTTATGCCTTCTTCCTGGACTGACCTCAGCCTGTTAAATCGACAGTGTTTTTTGCCTGGTGCTTGGATTGATCTTTTGCCCTGATACTGCAGTAGTGGGATTCAAGATAACACAGGGGTCTCACATATGTGAGGGGCTTTAGAATAGAAAAAAAAGAGTTTTTGGTTTTCTCTGGGTTTTGTAATTCCCGGAACAGGGTCTGTTTGTCCAGAGGCTTCAAAGAGATTGGGTGGGACGAAGCCCATTCCCCTGTGCCACGGTCCTACCTGACCAAGGCCCTAAGCCTGATGTTCCTGCCTGCTTCCTGGACCAATACTTTGTTATGATCATATCTCTGCCTGCATTGACCCAGGACTTTTAATGGACCATGTTCCTGCCTGCTGCCTGGACCAATACTTTGGCTGTGCTAATCATATCTCTGCTTGCTGCCTGTACTGACCTAGGACTTTTTATGGACCATGTTCCCGCCTGTTGCCTGGACCAATACTTTGGCTGTGCTGACCATATCTCCTTTTGGTACCTGTACTGACCCAAGACTTTTCAGACCATGTTCCTGCCTGCTGCCTGGAACAATACTTTGG